TTATTTTTTTCCGCTAATGTGTTTAGGAAGGAACAAAATTCCTTAAAATATTCCCATCAAATGGCTAAAATTGACCCACTACATCAGAAAAGCCATATATGGATCGGCTGTGAATTTAGTACAACTGAAACGTGAATAAGACATTTTTAGGCCAAGAAAATTAACTGAAAACTCACTGTGAAAGGGTTAAAGTTGTAAGACGAAAACAGGACAACTCCCAGACCTGACGACATCGTGGTAGCGACCTGTCAATCACAAGGTAGCCCCGCCCTAAAGCATACCCTGCTTTATGATCTATTTTATTCTAAATGGACCATAACTTACTAAATGAACATCATTCTGTATTGAAGAAGACTTGAAACTAGAGATTGAGACCATAAACTCATGTTTACAATGTTTACTGAGGTAATAAATCAAGTGAGAAGTAGAGTCATATTCTCATAGACTTCTACACAACCAGAGGAGTCGCCCCCTGATGGCCATTAGAAAGAATGCAAGTTGAAGGCACTTCAGCATTGGCTTCACTTTCTAGTCCCTGAGGTTGCTGGCTGGTAATGAAGCATAGAATCATTATTTTCTCAATGGTGCCCAAGTATTGTGTAAATAGGACAGCAGGGTTTCAAAATCATCGAGGATAAAGAAAAGAACCAAAAGTCTCTTTGTTGGCCATCTCTCGCATAAACAAGTCTGAGAAGAACAAACATTATGCTAATCGGTTATGTTTAACTGGATAAAGAGTCTAGTTAGCCTCTGGCAGAGGTGTCAGTTTAGAATCATCAGCAAGGTATAAAGAGCTTTCCAAGAGAATGCTCGGGAAGCGTTTTCACTCCCCACAGTAGATAAAATAATATATATATACTGTACAGAGCAAACAGGCTTGCTGGCACTATATCAGCAACACTAAGCATACAACACTGCAGTCTATTTAATGCCAGGGCTGTAATTCACTTCAGGTGATTATCTGGGGTTGAGAGGTCCTAAAATACAGCTTCCAGCGATGGCAGAGGGAATCGTGCTTTTGAAGGCGTTGTTGCGCAACACGGATTGTTTATCCTCCCCACGTTCCCTAGTTCGCCCTCTCACACGCCGCTGCCTGTCACGGATGCGGAGTAAACTCATTCCTCACACTCTGCAGCTAATGACAGTCGATGTTCAACATCGTCCCCAGACGGCAGGGGTTCATGAAAGATGCATGGCTTTGCCTGAGCTGAATGTGCTTACCGCGCAGACTGACTCCGTAGGACAGATCTATTACTGAATGCTGTTGGAAGGTGAGGGCTCAACCCCACACTACTCCATCCAACACCTAAACAGTTCAAGGCACAGCCGAGAAGCATATCTCGGTGTGTATATATACAGGGTGTGGCAGCATCAGCACATGCCGGGAGGGATTAGCTTCTGTTCCACCAGAGTCATTGATTAACCCCGTCCTCTCCTCTGCTCCTCTGGGGTTTCAGCAACATAAGGTCGCAGACTTTCTCAGGTTGTGTCATGTGTTCACAGGACACAGCGGGGCAGGAGCGCTACCGGACCATCACCACAGCTTACTACAGAGGAGCCATGGGGTTCCTGCTGATGTACGATATCACGAGCCAGGAGTCCTTCTGCGCCGTACAGGACTGGTGGGTGGACCAGTATTCACATGTTGGCCTGCGTATCGGCCGTTATCATATAAAGTTTGGGGGTCGTCCCCCAAGAAAATTTATTTGTGAGGTTTTTTGACTTAAAGCTGTGTCATTTCACATCATTTTGGACCATTATTGTTACTATAGATAACGCCCTAAAAGCTGAAGTACAAAACAGTCATTGAATTATTATTTTCTTATTTACGCGTATCACAGCCGTCATATGAACATTTCATTCTTCTGGCAATGTTTGCCCTGTAAAATCGTGTTCTGTAAATATGCAAAAGAGCAGATTCAGAACTAACTATTGAACTAATTCATTTTTGTTCACAATTTGTTTCAAAAGTTGTGACGAACAATTCACTAAATTAAAGCGATGTGTTGTCCCATGACATTTGAATTTGGAGTCCTTGTAAAAATATTTACTGTAGTTAAAGGATAAAGAGTTATGCATAACCAAATGAAAGCCCAACAAAATATCAGCAATTGGTGGTACTTGAAATGAATAACAGTAAATGGAAAAAAACTAAACAAAAACATATATATATATATTATTTTCCTATTACTCGCAGCTCTAAATCCTTACATGTACAGACAGTTCTTCATCTTTAAACAGTAGTGGAGGAAGTAGTATGCTTACCCTTTTCTTGGGAAAAAGTAATATATATATATATATATATATATATCTCACACGCCGTATGAAAATGTAAAAGTACTTGTTGGGCAGAATTGCCCTTTCAGAGTGTTATGTCGCTATATACATCATATTACAGGAACATTATTTCTGATGCGTTAATAAGTAAGTTGAGGTGGAGTTGGTTTCAATCACTTGTAAGTTGATACGTTTTGTATGTAAAATCATAATGTGCAAAAGTCACTTTACCTCTCAGACAGAAGTAGTAAAAAAGTGCAATATTCTCCTCAAAACATGAAATTGAAACACTCAAGTGAAGTACTTACACACTGTACATAAGCGCAGATCTTGAGTAAATGTGCTTTGTTACTTTCCACCACTGGCTGCAGGTAAATACAGTAAAGTTTGTTTATTGTGTGAAAACATTGCTTTGCTTTGCCGTTTCCCAGGGCAACCCAGATCAAGACGTACTCGTGGGGCAACGCTCAAGTAGTGCTGGTAGGCAATAAGCTGGATTTGGAAGAAGACAGGCAGGTCCCCGCCGAAGACGCCCAAAGACTGGCTACAGAGCTCGGTTGGCGCACACACACACACACACACACAGACACACACACTTTTAACACGTGCTCAGCAAGAAACACACGAGACAAAGCTCCTCTCCTTCCTCCGCTCTCCGCAGGCTTCCAGTTCTTCGAGGCCAGCGCCAAAGACAACGTCAACGTGAAGCAGGTGTTTGACAAGCTGGTGGACGTCATCTGCGAGAGGATGAACGAGAGCGTCAACGGCGACGCCAGTCCGCCAGCCAATCACATGGAGGCCGGCCTGAAGGAGACGCCCCGCAGCGGCCCGGGCGGCTGCGCGTGCTGATGGCTGGCAGTGGGAATTCACACAAAGCTGGTTTCACAGTCGCGCGCACACAGATTACCGGATTGTCCAAAAATGATCATTGTAGATGTACTTATTCATGTTACTGCAATACTTTAATGGATGCTTAGCTCCTTTTTTTTGTTGTCATTTGATCACTATTTGGTGACGACTCCCGCCTCGTTGTCATTCTAATGTGACTGTTACACTGAGATGCCAAAGAGCTGCACTGAGCGGCTGTGCCTTTTCTTTTTCAACCCGTCACCTCTGCTTCAGTACTTGTTGTTTAGTGGGTGAAAGGCACCTGTTGCAGGTGAGGATGTAACTGAATGGCAGGAGCATTGTTCGGGGGATGTCTGGGATTTTGGACTGTGTCATGCCGCCCCCTTGTGGCTGCTGCATGGAAATGCATCACTGTGACTCATTACCGCACACACACTGTGTCCTGTGAACTTGTCCTGCTGAGGAAGAAGGAAGTTCAAACATACCTAAAGGGTGCTGTTTCATTACAGTCTTATTACTGTTTTGGAGGGATATTCTCATTTGGTTTTAATTTCTATTTTTCTTTTTTCTACCTTTTTAATGGTTGATGCTCATTCCATATTTCCTTTGCCAGGTTTATTGTGTCTCTATACGTGTGGATTAAAAGATGTGGGTCCGTACAGTACATCTGTTGGTTTTTCATTTGCACAAAGTCTGTTATCTTAATGTTATTTTTCTGAATTAAACGCTTCTAAATAATAAGCATAATTCTTTATGCGTTTCTAAGAAATGAGTCACTTTAATATGGAACAAGAGTCAAACATTTATTGTTTTCTCCATTAAGCAAATTAATTATTCCTCAAGTTTATGTTTGTATAAATTATTAATTTATTTAGGCTTTTGAGCTTTGTGTTGAATTCAACAAATCATTCATAAACATCAACATTATATAATTACAGGTTTCTGGTCATGAAAGTTTCTCTTCTATTTTTGAAGGGACTTTGGTCACCAGGAAGTGTTGCTTGGCCCAAAAGCAAAGTCGGTGACGTCTAGGGCATGAACCCTTTTTTCTTTTTTTTTTTATCTGTGCGTGTGTGTGCGTGCCTGTGTGTGTACTTGTGAAAAGATAAAGGGGCATGTGAAAGCCTTGTTGAGCAGACACTCCTGATTGATCAGACCTCAGCGGACAGACAGACAGAGCTGCACAGGTAAGAGCTTCATGCTTTTTCATACTTTTAATTAAATCATCCAACTATATGATCAATAACAGAAAAAACCTTTTATTTCTTGCATAAACCTGCCTTAAAAACACATTATGGCGAATTAACATATGACATGATGCAGTATGTTTCTGACAAAGAACTTTTTCAGCTACTTAAGTAATAGAACTAAAGGATGATGAATGACATATTTACCTCGAGGTAGCTGATAACCTGATTGTTGTTATTTTGTTTGAGTAGTTGTGTATCATATTTGAATGGGTTCACTTCAAATATATGACACTGTATTATATTTACCAACAAACTAGTTGAACCAAGAATCGTCCAACTCGGGTCTCTTTAATAGTATATAAAAAAAACGAAACGCTACATTTCAAATAAAAGAGTTGATGTCGGAAATTTAAAATGTTCTCTGACTTTCTGATTTAGCCTCCAATAAACGCGTTCCAAACAAACATGAGAGTTTCCTGGTGATATAAAAGCATTTTATGGCCTCTTGGAAACGGTATGTTCCCACGGAATATTACAGCCAAAGCTGCAATAAGGATGATAAAAGGATCAATAACTATAAAACTGAGCTCATATTGCTGACTCGGAGAAACAAAGTTGTTCAAGGTTGGGGACAAGGCTGTTAGTTTTATGGCTTTTCTGGGCTACTTGCAGTGTGACAACCAGTAAGCTGATAAGATGATTTTTCCTTAATTACCTAATCATTAACTCATAGGAGGACATTTCAATATTTGCAACCATATCATGACCATAACATGTTCATGACCTATACATACTTGGCACATTTTAAAACTGTGTTTCATAAATGTTATGGCATTCTGCATTTCAAGTTGTGAACATATTTAACATTGTGGAAAAGACACTTTATATAGTAGTAATAATTTAATGTTAAAATTGAAAGAGAGCGCTACAATGAAACTGCTCATACAGTTTTACACTGAAAAAGAGGAAGTGACTTTTCTGCCTCTCTACCAGATGGAGACTAAATGTGTAAAGAGGAAACCCACAAACATTACGGTTTGCTTGGTAATCCTTTAAATAACTTGCAGGCAATGCAAAATTAAAAAAAACAAATAAGTGTTGATATGAACGAGCAACTTATCTCACACATGAACCGAAACCTCGTGATTAGGTCAGCAGGACAAACCTGCTAAATGTAAAGGAGATTAAGACCCTTTGTGTTTTCCTGCCTGTTGCTGTGGTTAATGTATAACCAAAGCAAATGCCGTTTGACCCACGTTGGTGCCCGCTTGTGTTGTCAGCCATTCTCATACCAATGATTTTTCTATGAGAGGCAAAATGCAAAGTTGTGCAGTTAACCAAAATCCCCTAACAGATCAATAAGGAAGTGTAACCAGTTACACTATAATTTATAATAATTTATAATCGGCTCAGTTTAACAACCTTTTTTCTTCTCTGTTTTATTGAAGTGTGAATAGAAGAAGAAGGAAAAACAAACGCCAAGATGTGTTGCTCCGGCTTTCTCAAAGTCATGATGTTTATCTTCAATGGCGGCATCTTTGTAAGTTGCAAAAAAAGGAAACTACTTCTTTTCGACTTCTGTTGCCCAGCTCTTTTTCATGTTGGCCTGGTCCCAGAAGAAAACAGACGAGAGAGCACCAGCAAGCTATTCACTTTGGCTTTGTATACAATTCTCCTTTACAGCAATATGTTAGCTGTGTACTTCCTATATTCAGCGATAGCTGAAAGGAATAGTTTGACATTTTGGGAAAAACACAAGAGTTATACGATAAGATTGATACCACTCTCGTGTCTGTAAGCTAAAGATGAAGTTACAGTCAGGAGACAGTTAGCTTAGCTTAGCATAAAGATTTTCTTTTTCCCAAAGAGTGTCTGCCTAGTCCTGCCCTACTGTGCTGTGATTGGCTAGTACTGGCTAGTACCACTGTGCTGGGATTGGCTAGTGCTGGCTAGTACTACTGTGCTGGGATTGGCTAGTGCTGGCTAGTACTACTGTGCTGGGATTGGCTAGTACTGGCCTGTACTACTGTGCTGTGACTAGTTTATAAGCCCTGCTTCCTGTCTTTATGCTAAGCTAAGCTAAACAGCAGCTGGCTGTAGCTTCATATTTGCCGTAGGCACAAAAGCAAATAAGCTCATTTCCAAAAATGTTGAACTATTCTTTTCATCTTTTTTTAAACATTCTAAATAATTATCAGGCTGAACTTGTGATCACCTTTATAATGACTCATATCCACAGTTCATCACAGAACAAGTCTTTTTTATGAAAGGCCTACAACACAACCTTTTTTAGGATTCTTAACTTTTGCATTTTCCCGATTATTAACTCCTTTTCAGCATGTCTGCAATACATATTTTATAACACTTTACCGTTATTTCTCCATGCTTTAAAGCCACATCCTTGTATCATCTCTCTACTTTCTTCTTTCTCCCTGTTCTTTCCTCACCCAACACACAGTTGGCAGGTGCATGCATCCTGGGTGTGGGAGTGTGGGTGAAGGTGGACAGTAGTTCTCTGCTGGGTTTGCTGGATAACGGGGAGGGCACTCCGTCTGGGTTATCCCAGCTGGTCAACGTCGCCTACCTGCTCATCGCAGTAGGCGCCGTGCTGCTGGTCATTGGCTTCCTGGGCTGCTGCGGAGCTGTCAAGGAGAGCAGGTGTATGCTGCTGACGGTGAGTGATGTTTGCCAGATCAACTGCACTGGATAGGACTGAAGGAACTTATCAAAATATTATCATTTTTTTAGAAACGTTTATAATAATGCCACAACCTTTTAGACCTTTTTACTTAAAACATAATGGATCACAATATAAAATAAAATAATCTGATTTAATAAGATTTAATAAATGTCTTACTTGTGGTAGTATGAGGTATGTTCAAAATGACATAAACCTTTTTTTATTAGAACTGAGGAGAATAGAGAATTGCCTGTATATCTGAGATTTTTTGGACATGAAATGTGAATTCTGGTAACTGTAAAAGTTTATGTTTTCTGACGGTTATTTCACCAGAGAAGTCAAGCAGAATGCCTTCTCATTCGGTCCTGGTATGAATGTGCTAAATATTTTAGTATGTGGCTTTAGGTTTGCGGTACAAATCTGATGAAATGCTCTTCGTGTCTGACAGGGAAAGTTTTACAGCATCATTTATGATTTTCTCAACCATCCAGTTCTTCAGCATTGTGCTGATTATCTTCCTCATCGAGGTAGTGGGAGCTGTGGTGCTGCTCGTCTTCAAGGATTTGGTAAGTGGCTCTCGAGGATCCACTTGGCAATAATTGTCATTTGGTCAGATTTAGTTTGAAAAACCCTGAAGAGCTTTGCTAAAAAATGGTGTCCTTTTCAGGCCAAGCAGGTTCTTGATCATCTGGAGGATGACGTTAAAGAAAGCATTAAAGAGGAGTATGGAAGCAATGACCGTTTCACCTCTCTCTGGAATGCCACCATGAAGGAGGTACTGCATTTTGAATCTATCTTTTAAGTGAAGTAAAGTCCTGACGTGTACTCACGGTTGATGCAACCTTCGAGACAAAAGTAGTGTCTCTTTTATCCCACAGCTCAGCCAACACTAACAGGTATTTGATTACTTGAATATACTCTGTGGATTTGCGCTAAAGGCACACTTTGTTACTTTGCTACAGTGAAAAGAGTAATCGCCCTATGCTGATGACCAAAACTGTCTTCTTTTCCAAATTTCATGGGAATGTGTATTATTTTCTTTTACATTTTTATAATCTACACCTCTGTCTACACTGTAGCATCACAGCAGTGGAGTTAAAACTATTAAATTGTGTTTTTGTTAAGATTTGGGACTAACACTTGTTGTGGTTTCCTTCTAGTTTAAGTGCTGCGGATACAAGAACTACACAGATTTCGACGGCTCCACTTTTAACAATGTCAGCGGAGGAGATCGCTATCCAGTCACATGTTGCAATAAAACCATCGACGTGTGCACTACAGACAACGCACATTTTTCGGTACGAGACCACTCTACTCTGGGTTTAACTCAGTGCGCCTGACCAACAAAACCATTCATTGTGACGAAGCGCAACAGTCAATTCCTAATCTCTGCTCAAACCTGGTGTTTCCCTTCCAGATGATTGATGGCTGCTTTACAATGCTGCTGCAGCTGATAGAGGACAACGCTGTGATCATTGCAGGGCTGGCTCTAGGAATCGCTGCTCTAGAGGTATCAGTATCAAATAGACATTACAGAGACATTACATAGACTTTGGCCACAGAGTTGCTTTTATAGAGCGGTATTTGAATGAAATATATTTAAATTGTCATTTCTTTTACTTTATCTCTCATATTGCCATGTCCTGATAAATAGAGACCGGATTTGCATTGCTAGGCAACATCTCTGGTTCATGTTTACTTCCCGTCACCTGATTGTCATTCACATACACAAGAAATAATCCCTCTGTGACATGGTCTGCAAATAACAATAATGATAACTTGTTACAATACTTGTCTGTGGACACATAGTGACCTTTGAAGCGGCTATAATCGATATTTTTACAATAACAATTTATCAAATGACAATGTGAGAGGGGTTGCTGGTAGCGATTCACAGTTTAATTTCTTGTTATTTGACGGGGTTATTTATTCAGGCCACTAAGGATTGCTGATTTTAGTGTCACACTATATTAACACTGTCACTTCCTGGGAAATATTTCCACCATAAATTGACTTGAACTCTCAATTTAGGCTGTTACAAACCCTTTACAACTGATTTACTTTTAAACATCAAAATGGTTCAGTTGTGACCCAGTGCATGGGTTTTTCAGAAATCTATGATTCTGCAGAGTATATCCTACAGAACGTTGTACAATCTGTTACTTGTATCTCAGATCCATTACACTGTGTTTAGATAATGTGTTGATGAACTGTTGTCTTCACAGGTTGCTGCGATGGTGGTTTCGATGGTCCTCTACCAGAATATTGGCAACAAGGCGTGATATTTCCTGTTGGGATGAGATAACGACATTCTAATCGGTGGAGAAATCGTACTTTTAGGCCTTAGCAGTTCTTCTATGGATGAAGTTTTTTTCTATTTGATTCAAACCAGACTGATGATCAGACAGACAAACTTGTAATGCTCTACATGCATTATGTAGAGCATTAAAATGGAGAGGTAGTCAATGCATCTAATACGTTCTTAGTTTCAGAACTATATCTGTCCACATTTTATACCTTGATTTATTTAAGTTTTAAGAAGCAGACATTGTATGTGCTGATACATATTAGTAATATGTAATGATGCACAGGGCAGAAATGATATGCACAAGTTGTTTATTTCCCTCACACTCACTGCTAACTGTAATATAATGAATTTATTTTTGTATGTTTGATCATATTGAAATAATAAATATCACAATATCACCTCCTTCTTTTATTTGCACTGTGATTCTGGTCTTTTTGGCATGTTTTCATATGTTATATTAGGAAACATGCAATACAACTATGTCAGAGGATAATGGTTAATTTATTACCCATAGATTCTGAACAAAGCATAAAAAAACAACTAAAGCATCACTTATTAGAATTTGAACTGTAATCAAGTGTTGACTTTTCCACCAATGTTTAATGGTTTTAACTTTAACATTTTGAAAGTTAAAGCCATATTACGTTAGCCCGCTGCACGCGACTTCAGTAGTTCTACACAGTTTCGTCGAGCTAGCAGCTTCTGCTAACTCCAACTATTGCTAAACAGCTAAATTTGAACCGCTTGTTTTTAAAAAAAAAAAAAGAGGACTCGCAGCAGGATGGTTGTGAGACGTTTGGTGGCTCTGGGAATGAAAGAAGCGGCTAACGTACATCCTCATCGTCATGATGCTATCGTTAGCAGTCTTGCTAACGTTACTCACAATGCACTGCCACCGGCGTCCAAAGAGCCGAATGAGGGACCTGCCGCTCAACCAAAACTGTTAACATTCCCAGCTACTGTCACAGAGGCCGGGCTCACTCAACAGCAATTTGTATGGGAAGTTCAAGTGGACTCAATATAAAGTACGAGACTCAGCATTTTGCAAAGCATTTGTCCCCAAAATGCACACGTAGTTAGCTTTTCTAAGAAATGTCTACAAAAATTGGAAACGTGTCAGAGATACGGACTACGAAGACAATCAACCTGTTCTACTCAAAGCTAAAGTTTCTGTGTAGAAGTTCTGAATTGAAGCATAATGGTAAGAAGAGTTATGTGCAGTGTTGGATTTATTATCGTGTTATTGTCTCTTGATAGGCCTGTTGCATTTTGGTGTCAAATTGTAAGCAGATGTATGTCAATGAATTAATTGTATTTGGCTGTCATCAGGCTTTATATTATTTCGATATATTGAGAGATATTGTCTCAGATTTTGTTTAGCGTAAAATGTCAAAAGTGCTGTCATGCATCACAGTAAAATGTTATAATTTTCTGAACATACCTGGCTGCTTTAGCTGTTCTATTATTTCCCTTGGCCCACTGGGTGACTATATCCCCATGAAGGATGACTGTTTGTCAAAAATCTCAATGTTTGCATGTTTCCTAAAAGCACCAACGGTCAACCCCACAATATTGTTGCAATATTGATATTGAGGTATTTGGTAAACAAAGATTGTGATTTTCTTCATAACGCCAAGCCCTCGCTCGGCTATCATAAGCCAATGCACTGAGCTTACTCGCTGTCCTGTAGCTCTTGGTCTCCATGCAAGTATTGTGCAGTGGTCAGTAACATTAGCCTGCTGTAACTGAGTGTGTGAGCTGGTGGTGCTCTCTACCATCCAGGGCTGGATGGATGTTGACATGAGTAGCCTACTGCGCATGCTAAAATTCCCTTCGTCCGCCTGTTTATCCCTATATATTTTATATACATACATTTAGGACTTACGTTCTTCAGATGGCCAGACACAGAATGCTGATGTTACTTTGTGTCTGCTGCATGGGTCTATAAGCCACTGTTTATAGCACATAACAGCTTTATAAGGTGGCAATATGTCAGTGTTGTGTTTTCAGCTTGTTTCTGCTGCCCCACGTGGCTAAAAAAGAGGTGGAAGTAGGGACTGGGGATTTAAGGTGACACGCTGGTCAAGAATGATGGCCTGTTTCACAGATTAAGGAGCTACAGACATTTGACCTTCACATGCTGAGTCAGAAAAAGGAGACATGTGATTTTATGGCACCGATATAAACATTAATGCCTCACAGTATCCATCAGTGTTTTATATATATTCTCCCAGTCACAAACAGGCAGCTCATATTATGTCCACAAAATCCCTCAACAGCCTGTATGTTGTCATAAATAATGTCAATGAGCTGCTATTCAATTATATGGGGGGATGGAAAGGTGAGTGTGTTCCATATGGTCTGGCCTTCTGGTCAGAGCTGTTTTAATTTGCTTCAGGCAATGTAGGTAAATTACATTTCAACAGGTTTATTGTTGCTTATACATTACAGGGCAGTTTACATCAGACAGGGTCGATTACAGTTAATGTGTCAGAATGTGTGTGTGTGTGTGTGTGTGTGTGTGTGTGTGTGTGTGTGTTTAGTGGGGTAGTTAGTGAAGTTGAATGTGTGCTCACTGCTGGCGGCAGGTTCTCCCGTCACATGCTGTGAGATAGCTATACCTGATGACCCTCCTCAGTGGCGTCATAATCTGGAGAAGTTGTCTCCATTACTGTCATCGTAAAACGGTTGGAACAGCAGTTAAATGCAACATGTGACTATGCTTCATATCGGTTTTCTCTGGGTTAGGCAGTTTTAATGTCCGTCTGTGGACACTCTTGTAAAGGTGAACTTGAGCATTAAGTGAAGTCCAGATACGCTGTGAGTCACACTTGTGGCACTTCAAACCTATATGAGTTTATTCTGAATGCCCCTCTCAGATTTCATGTTACAGATCTATTAAGTGCTTTCATGGTAACGAATTGGACACATTCTCTTACAAATAGAGTCGCTAACTAGAACCATGCAGGTGTCTTTGGCTTTTCCTCACAGGAAAACACTGTTTGGTTCCTGGTAGAACCTTTTATTAAGGTTCCACCTGAAAGCCTTTCAGAGGGTTCTACTTAGAACCCAACGTAAAAAACGTTATACGACCATATTCGAAAGGTTCCACCCAGAACCTCCAGAGAACCCATGGTTCCATCCAGAACCCTCTTCCATCCTGAACCTTTCCATCTTCGAAGAGTGCTAACAAGACCCTAGCCATGGCTTTTACTGTATATTCCAAGGGTTTAAATACTTAGATGTCGAACACTCACACGATTTAGTGGACTGTTCGATTAGTTGATTTTATCAACTGATTTGTAGAACTGAGTTTCTCCACAAAGAAACACACAAAAGCACCATTTCAAATCGTGTGGGTAGCAGAGATGTGCTCACAAGTTTCTTTGTAATAAGCCATTCAACATGAAAAGGCATAAAAAATATCTATTAAAGAAATCTTACTCGACTCATTTTCAAAGAGGGGGCAGCCAAACGGCTACTCCTCTATATTCCAGAGGTTTAATCTAAAGCCGGGGCTGATGTGGTGCTGCATAAACCACAAGAATCGTGGTTCAGAATCACAGTTTTGGGGTTTGTGTGGGCTGGATTTTGGGTGTTCGCCTTTAACACCCATGCTTTCAACAATCCTTGAAGAATCCTCTGTCTTCCACAAAGGATTCTTTGGATGAAAAGGGGTCTAAATAAAAACCCTTAATCTCACAAAGAACCCTTGAAAAGCCCTTTCTTCAAGAAACAGCTGTTGTTGTACATGTGTTTTCAACATTTATTTTATCTGATTACGGACTGTATGCCTGAGCAGCAAAGCTAAGTTTATACAAATAAACAACAATTAGAACGTAGTCTTGTTCAAAATCATTCAATTAAAAAAATCTTTAGTTCAAGGTCAATCGTTTCCTTAGTTCTGTAGTCATACTGTGTTACACCATGCAGGCGTTTTTAAGTCTGGTTTTATTGACTTTATTTCTCCTGGCTGTATCAGCGGCAGTAACATAAAGTCAATAATTCTGAGAGAAAGAGGTGTGTTTGACCTTTTCTTCACAAAGACGCAACTAAATGACTCAACTCTGTTTCCCCTTTCTGACGGTACGATTCATCATCGTCTTGATGGCCCCAGCAACATTGACCTGTGTTGAGAAGCTGTCGTTAGCTCTATCAAGTCTATCACTGAGGCTTTGCAATGTAAAAGAAAGGGAGACAGCATTACAATACAGTGTTTTATGTTAAAAAAACAATCCTGTAAGTATGCGTGAGAAACGAGGAGGTACATTCTTCTTTAAATGCCTTCTATAGTTCATCTAGAACAGGCTGTAATAGTGAGAGAGCAGTGTGATTGGCAGGATAGATAACACTTAGTAAACTGTGCCCTCTTGTGGAAAACATTCATTCTGCAGCTAGAAGAAGTGATTTTAGGACGTATTCAAATTTACATTTCCCATTCTTGCATCTGTGAACCATGATGTCAAGTGGTGGATGATGGGAAACGGACGTGGAAAAGTGCCTGTTAACACCAAGGTCTCTATGAGATAGTCAAACATCCTTTGTGTTGCTACATTGTCAGCCAGTCGGCCCTTAGCAGCCGGTGTGTGTGATCAGGTCACGGGTGACGGAGCACATCGAAGTCTAATGGTGTAATGATTGGGACGTCAAGGGAGGGGCTGAGGAGCTGCTTGTGGGAATAAATGGACAGGAGACGGCTTGTTTACACAGAGAACATAAACCCATTATTGCTTTACAACCAAAGATAACGGGAACACCTTGTTGACTCAGCAGTCTTCCTGAAGCTGTGGCCATGGGACTCAAAATAGTTTGAGTTTAGTGAAAGTTTATCATCTACATCAAGTTAGCTGTCAGTGGTTGAAAAGGAGCCACTCGTCTGCAAGTTGGGTATCTATAATGTTCCCTTAGTACATGTTGTGAGCATATTCTACTTAGTAATGACTTCAAATCATCTGTTGTGTGCAGGATGAACAGTCTAAATCTGCTCGTTGGTTGTGGCTTTAAAAGGGACAACATAGTGCGTCATTTTCCAGTGATATATGGCAGCTTTCTCCACCACCATCATTAAAACATCAAAAGTGGAAATATCTTTTGGAGGAATTGCTCTCATGCTTCCTGTAGCGCAGAGACTAGACTTTTAAAAGCTGGAAATGAATAAAAGTGAATAATGAATAAATAAATCCATAGCGAAATATAAACTACATCCATGGAATCAGGTTAGTTTGAACCCTAAGGACCAAACGCCCTCTTCAGATGTTTTTTTTTTTTTTTTTTTTTTTTTTATGACCGCACTCACCTTGAAACTGAAATCCTCTCAGTCTGGCGACCATCCACGACCTGGAGTTTTAAGCTTGGTGTGATGTCTGGTCTGGTGTGGGAATTGCGACACCTTTAAAACACA